CCTCTGTACTGTACATGGGCAGAAACTAAGTTCTCCTAGAAGCCCTTAGTCAAATTTCCCCTTTATAAGTCTGAAACACCCTGGCACTGTATTTTTCCCTCACATAAGAAAAAAAGGCAGAAAAAAGTGACTTTGCTATTTTTTTCTCAAATAAGTGACACCAAGATTTACGTGTATATTACTCAGTAGTAACAATGGCAGATCTAGCCAGAAAGGAAGGTGAGTAGATGGGTTGGGGTAGAACATAAACGAAACACAGTACAAAGTATATTATTTATATTATTTGTATGAGAATAGGATTGTTTTGAAATTCACATTGTGAAAATTGATTTCCTTATATATGCTTTGTTATTATGAAATAATTAAGTTTTCCTGTTTGGGCAAGTACCAGTAGTATAATGCTTTGTAGTTTATAGATTAAATATAAGCTTTGATTAAAGATATAGTATAACATAGAGGTTAAAAACACAGGATCTGGAACCAGACTGCCTGGTTTTGAATACAGCACCACTATCTACCTGCTGGTGTTGTGTGACTTTGAGCATGTTATTTATCTTTTTCCTGCCTCAGTTTCTTCTTTGGGAAAAATAAGGAAAAACCTAGTTCTACATCAGAGTTATAGTGAGCATATAAAATTAATTAATACAATCAGCCGCTTAGAACAAAGCCTGGCACAGAGTAAGCACTCAGTAAACGTTAGTTATGCATTATTTTGGTCTTATCATGCCACAAGCTACTTTGATTTGTGTAGTAATATACTTTGGTTTTAAATATTTTCTCATAAACTTTTCAGTCCTTGTAACCAAATAGAAGCTGCAGAATATATCAGCTTCCTAATCATCTGGTTTATTATGTTATATAGCTCACAACAACACTTGGAAGAAATTGAAAAATAAGACTAATTTTCTTGGGAATTGCAGGTCAAATATCTACACTTAGTGGAGCAATAATCCATAATCTATATTATAATCCACATAGAGCTAGACCTCGTTGCTCTCGCTCTGAAAGCAACCTGAACACGGTGTGTAATTGGAAAACAAAAAAACATCATACAACAGTTCTAAAAATTTGGAAAGCAACTAAATTTACCACTGTCTCCCTGAAATACACCAAAGAGGAGTTTCAGTCATAATATACAACAAAATTGGTTTAAATCTTCTTTTTCACCCATCTTCCTAGAGCCCTGTGCCACATGGTAGAGCAGCTCACCCTGAACTCTAGCCTCAGAACACCTCAAAATATCCCCTCAAGCCAGATGAATTGACCCTTACCTTTCTTGCTCTCTTTTCCTTTATTTTTTCTTCTTTTTCATAATTTTCTTCTACAAACAATTCTTTGTCATTTCCAATTTAAAGCAATCTAACTAGCTCAAACTCGTTTCAATTCTTCCCTCACCTGGTACCCTGATCCTCACAAGACCCAGGAGTTTAAGAGGCAAGAGAGAATTATTCATAGTGAGTAGAGAAAGAAAGAGAATATGAAAATATTTTAATGTTTTTCTGCAACAAATGGAGTTGTAAAACAGGAAAAAGAACCATAACATACTATAATACAGACATATATAAATATGTAGTATTTATTTTTCAACCCTTGCTATGCTTACTATTCAATGGCACAGTAAGTATGGAAAAATAGATATAACTACAAATCGTGGCCTCTTTAGACATATAGCAAGCTTTGTATGACAATCTATTTTTAGAAAGAAAATAAAGACCTATTGATTCTAGTAAAAAAGTAATGATATATTACACCTTAAAGTAGTTACATATTAGTGGTAGGTATATTAAACATGTGTTTTGAATAGTGTCCTTTGTTTCCAGAAGTTGACAAAAATAATATTAAAATTTTGTTTCATCAGAATATTTAGTTGAGCTATCCTTTTTTAATCTTTGAATTATTTTTGAATTTCAGATCATTTTATTCCTTATTTTGTTTAAACAAAAATGAGAGAATGGGGAACTTATGTCTTATTAGTTAAGTGATTTTTTTTGAATTCAGGAAGGAAGAATTTTTGCTAATTTGAAACATTCTGTTGAAACATGAAAGAGAAAGAGAGGGTTAGAATAGCAATACTGAACAGTACCAAGTTCAGTAACCCTTACTTTCCAGTTTCTCTTATATAGCTTATTGCTGATAATCCTTTCATCACGAGAGAGCAGAATCAAGAGTGGACAATTTTTTTTTGGTGCACCGTTCCTGGAAGTACTGCAATACCAGGTCGATGCGTGGAGTGGACGGAGCAAGCAAGCTCCTATTCCATCTCCTTGTTCCAAAAATCCATTTAATATATTGTCCTTGGATAGAGGATGTATCAGATATTAAACTGATAAGAACAGATACTACACTTGATCTTAGCCAAAAGGCCTAGAAGCGGTGAGTGGATAATTTGATATAACATTTAGTTATTATCAAGTGATAAAATGTTTGATTGCTTTATATTGCTGTCTGATCACACCCAAAAATGAGTATTTAAAGTAGGAATAATTTTTGAAATAAGTTACAGATGGTGAAGTCATTTGAAAAACATCTGAAGTTTAAATGAAGATAAATTAATAGTTGAAAATACTCTTCGGGGCCAGCTCTGTGGCCGAGTGGTTCAGTTTGGGCACTGGGCTTCAGCGGCCGAGGGTTTCACCGGTTCGAATCCTGGGCGTGGACATGGCACCACTGATCAAGCCAGGCTGAGGCGGCGTTCCACATGCCACAACTAGAAGGACCCACAACTAAAAATATACAACTACGTACTGGGGGGCTTTGGGGAGAAAAAGGAAAAATAAAATCTTTGAGGAAAAAAAATACTCTTGAAGTGAAAAATCTAGGGATTTCGTCGTCAGGATGAAACTGACAGTTCTTTTGGTTCATATTTACAAACAACTTATTGAAGGGCTAAGTACAGGTCTCTCCGAGCATTCATTTGAATATTTAGAAGAAAGTTATGAGCTATGTTGTTATTCTCTACCACAGGGAGGCATTTTTCTGAAATACACTGATCCTCTGAAATAAAAATGTACACAATCAATACCAAGAGTTTTGGAACCTCAGCCTAACATCTGACTATTTGCTGCAGATTATTACATCTTTCTCTTATTCAAAGCCTTAACAGCTAGGTATCAGAATGAATTATTTGTCTTGACTTTTTGCCTTAGAAAACAGTTTAAAGTAGATCTAAGGATTAGACCTTCAGGGAAAAATAAATCATTCAATTTTTCTCTATATAACTTGTTTCCAACACAAATACATATTAACAGTTTCTCATAGTGAGTATAAGTAGTGCTTTATATTTAATTGTGAGACAAGTTGGCCCAGAAAAAAACTAACGTTATTTCATGAGAGGGTAAGTTCTCATTTAAGTACTATTATAAAATTCAGCAATTTAAAGAAAATTCTGTTACCCTTAGCCAGTTGTCAGATGACGTTAAGACTTATTTCACAGGGCCATCCTTAATTCCTGTTTGTAACATTTAGTAACTATTGAAGATGTATGCAAAATATAAAGTTGTGTCGTAAGTTACACTCATTACCACGGTCATTACCACAGGAGTGACAATACACAAGTTAATACAATTACATTTATGCGTCTCTTCTCTTGGCCGCTTTTTGCACCCATATGAAATTGCTCTTCTGTAATACTTAAAGCAAAGGGAAGCAAAGAGTTCCACATAAGGTGGACAGAGGCAATTGTAAATTCTCAACTGCCAAGATTAACTACAGGCTTTGGTTCTGCAGAAAACCAAACAGCAAGATACTGAATTAATAGCAAGCAGAATCCTGGTTGTCATTTACTCTTTACCCACGGTTCTCTGAGACTGTCTTCTCTATACTGAAATGCACAGAGAAGTAGCCGATGGCAGAGTATTTTCTTGACTGGGATCCTGATCCTTTCTTTAGATCTACCTAGTGCTGCTGAAAAAGAAATCACTAGTCTTAAAAAAAATTTGCCCTGAGGAAGTTCTGTCTTGATATTAAAAACTAGGACCCGACTTTTGGTAGACATAGGCTAACTAGCAAGCAACAGAAGAACATATAAAATATGCTTTTTCAAATTGGTTTACTAAGTTGGAATGTAAAATATTTCCAGATCACTGGCTATTGGACAAGATAGACTTTTAAAAACATTATCATAGATATTATGAATTATTAACATCCTCTCCCAACCTAAGAAAAAAATAATGAAGTATTGATAGAATAAATTAATTATGTGACATTGGGTAGAACAGTATAAGTTTGCATTTACTGTGATTAAATTTGAGGGAACAAATTTTCTTTTACCTTATGCTTTTTCCCCTTTCCTTTGTTTCTTCTTCTCCTTTTTTTTTTTTAACATTTGAATCCAGTGAATTCAGCTATTTTTTCAAAACTGTTTTTCTGGGGGGTCTTGATTCTTCAGTTAATAAACGGATAGCATTGTACTTTATTTGTCTTTAAAGCATTTTTTTTTTTTTTTTTGGTGAGGAAGATTGCTGCTGAGCTAACATCTGTGCCAGTCTTCCTCTATTTCGTATGTGGGATGTCACCACAGCATGTCTTGATGAGCAGTGTGTAGGTCTGTGCCTGGGCTCTAAACCCATGAATCCTCGGCCGCCAAAGTGGAGTGTGTGAACTTAACCACTACCACTGGGGCAGCCCCCAAAAGCGCTTTTTTCTATCCACGTGCCCTGCCTTGTAGCTACATTAATGTGAGCATTTACAATGCTATGCTATCATTCTTTCCCTGATGTTTACTGCAGGCAGTTGAAATTGTGATGAGTCTTAATGACCATCAATGTTGTGTTCTGCATCTTGACGTTTGACGGAAGGTCTAGACAGGATTCAGAGAAAACTACACAGGAAGCCAGTGTGACATTATGACACATATTAAAGTTATTGAGATTTTGGATTCTATCACTATCTTTGTTATCTGTAAAATGTAAAAGGACGAGGTTTATCGTAATTTTATTCATACCACTTCCATACCCTTCCTACCATTACTAAGAAAAAAATAATTGGTTGAGGAAGCAAAATTCAGTAACAACATTTCGTATTTTATTGCTAACTAAAATTTTCAGGGCTTATATAGTTTTCTTTGTACAAGTAAAAATATTACTGTAGACTTTTTTTAATTTTGTTTGAATAAGCAAATCCATAAATATTATTGAGTTGAGGATGGTTAGCTAAAAATGGCTTACTGCCAAGAAACCTCATAGGACAGCACTATGCTGAGAATTTACTACAATCTGACACTAGGGTCTGACACACTGTTTCAAGCTTTTTAAATTTTTAATATTTTTGTCAATGTGCCATAGTTGAAAAACCAGAAATTCACTCAAAGTAGATCAAGTGAAAATGTGATATATCTGCAGGCTACAGGGAAATCTCATGGAAAGAAGTTCAGGATGCAAAGCCAAACCTCAAGAACTGAAAAGTCAAGAAAGTTTTTAGTTTTCTCTCTTTGTCCGTACTTCCCTTTGTGTACTTTTTCTATTTTCCTCTTTGTAGATTGATCCTCTCTGTTTATCTTCTCTTTTCTTGCTTATATTGTTGAAGACAATTTATTCACTTCCAAAGAGACCATAACTCCCAAAGGCCAAGGCCTTTTTCCCCAGTAGGCAAGCTTCAAAGTAAACCAAATGATTAAAGGATAGTTTGGTGGGGATGGAATTAGAGCAGGTGAACGAGGTATGGCTATATGACTTTTCAACAGCAGCTCGTCTTCAGAATTGTACCCCTCTCAGAACCCGTTGAAGTGATGGGCTTGAGCGGTAGTGTTTATACCGTGTGATCCCATGGCAGGTAGACAATCTGGACATAGATCTAATCATTCAGAGTCTCAGGGTTTAGGCTTTGAAGCAAGGGACACAGACAGGAAGTCAGTTTGAAAATTGTGCATCCTGGATTCTTCTTGTGGAGTGAGTGCCAGAGCTGGCTCCTTGGAGAGCCTGAGCAGCCAGCCAGCAGAAGCTGTAGGGACAAAGAGAAGAAGTAACAAGCAATCTGTGACGAGAAAAATGGAATACATACACAAATGTAAGTAGAGCAAGGACCTTTCTGGCCTCAGAGTAAGAAAGACAGGCCAGAGTAACGACCGGACTTTGAAACTCGGCTTTGAGTCCTAAATTCGGTTGAAATTGCCTCATAGCCTAGCAATGTATTTTCACTTGATCTACTTTGGGTTAATTTCTGTACTTGTTAACATATATGCCACATATATATATTTATTACAGTAATACATGTGCATAATTTAAAAGTTGAATAGTAATACAGGGTTTATAATGAAAAGTAGCAGTGTTCATTTCCTCCTCACTCCCAGATAACTTCTCTTCTGAACTTTCAACTCTGAAATTGTTTCTTTTAGAATTTACTCCTATACTTCTAAAACTTTTGCTTGAATTCCTGTTTCTTAATCTCTCAGTTTTAGCATTATAAGTTGATTCCCTACTGTGAAAGAAGAGGATTTAGCTACCTTTTAACAATTGCCCTCCATTCATTTAGTATATTCATCACAATTTTTGGTTAAATCAACATTTCGTTTTTGCATTATTATGACTATAGGTATGGTTTATTACATGTGTTTTATTACAAAATGCATAAATATTCACTGCTGAGTCATAAATTGTACAAGAGTTACATTTCCTTTTGGAGTTAATAATTGCCTCATTTTGGGGAGGGTTTAGGTTTCTATATAACTATCATTAATTCTTCCCTAAATTCTGTAACAAAATGTAAAAGCTAAAAGAAACTCTCGATTTGGTTTAAAACATCAGAAAATCTATCCTTTCCCTTTAGCTCTTAGAAAAATCACTAGAGGTACCCTCCATCTTCCTGCTCCAGCCAAGAGTGGTTAATTTTAGTGCCTGCTCCACAGCTGTCATTCTGAGTCATCCACTCACCATCATTTAAGAAATCCTTTACCTCTTTGCTGTGTTGAAGTTTATATTTCCTGGGTTCCATGTCTTTCACTTTCTTGACTGACTACCTCATTTTTGCAGAGCACGTTCTCCAATAGCTTCCTAAGAAAGGGTTTATAGAAGGCAAAATTTTTGAGCATTTGCTTATATGAAAAGGTCATTTTTTCTACTCCTACAGTTAATTGATAGTTTATATGTATACTTCAAACTTGAAATTATTTTCCTCTCAGAATTTGTCTTCTGTTATTTTCCAGCTTCAACTATTGACTGTAGAATAGAGTCATAGGCATAGAATTCTAGCGGCATCTGATCCCTTTTCTTCTGTCTGTGACCTTTTTCCCCTCTAGCCCACTGGTGCATATATATTTTTTTATTCATTTAGGGCATTAGGCAGGTCTTTTCTATGTGGAAATTTATGTCTTTTTGTTCTGATATTTTTTTGCTTAAGTTATACTTTTAATTATTGCTTCTCATTCAGTTTCTTTATTCTGTTTCTGAAACTTCTTTTGGTCAAATATAGATCTCTGGGTTTTGGTCATTCAACTTATCTTCTCTCTTCTGTGATGCAACTCTGTAATTTTGTTATAAATAATAGGAAATATTCTTGACATTAACATCTAGAAGTTCTATGATTTAAAAAAAACTTTGGACAATTGTACCTTTAATTTCCAAGAGAAATTTCCTGTTCTACGAATGCTCCTTTAGTGTCTGGTCCCAGCTAACTCACTGTAGCCTTGTGAGTGACCTTGAGGCAGAAGCACCCAACTTAGTCATGTCCGGCTTTTGACCCACAAAAATCATGAGCTGATAAATATTTATTGTTTTAAATGCTAGGTTTATGCAGCAATAGATAACGAGTCTTTTGGTTTCCTTAATATACATATTTATTTCATGACAGGGAAGACAAGTAAAGAGCTGACTACAGCATTATTCTCTTCAGATAGGCCAAAAAGAATATTTTGTATCCATATATTATTAGTGCCCTTGGTATTATACATAGATCAAAAAAAAACACCAAAAAGAATGAATGTGAATGTAATTTTTTCTTTCTCCCATTTGTGAATTTCCGACTATCTTATGATAGCACTTGTAACTCAGAAAGCATTTGTAGGACAGCTAGAGAGGTAGTAGTTGAATGTGACATCAGTGAGTGATTTATCTTCTCAATTTGTTGAATTATTTCAAATTACTTTCCATGTTGTCAGACTGTATATTTTTATATTATACTGATTTATTCAAGATAAACCTTTAGATCACAAAATCTCAAATATTTAGTGTATTAAAAGCCCCCTCCCCAACCACTACCACTCAGGTGATACCTGCTGTAGTTAAGACCAAGACTGGGGCCAGCCCCATGGCCCAGTGGTTAAGTCTGCAAGCTCTGCTTCAGCGCCCAGGGTTTTGCCGGTTCGGATCCTGGGTGCAGACATGGCGTCACTCATCAAGCCATGCTGAGGCAGTGTCCCACATAGCACAACTAGAAGGACCGACAACTAGAATATATGACTATGTACTGGGGGGCTTTGGGGAGAAGAAGAAGAAAAAAAAAGAAGATTGGCAACAGATGTTAGCTCAGGTGCCAAACTTTGGGGAAAAGTAATAAAGAGTTACTTCCTCCAAAAAAAAAAAAAATGACCAAGACTGACATGAATTCTATTTTACCATGAAGAAACTATGGTCAGGGATGAAATTAGTGAATAAATTGGGAGCCCTGTACACAGTACTCCTTCTTTTTAATAGTCTCTCGCCATTTGGCCAGAAACTAGAGAAGGTATGATGCACTGTAAGAGAAATGCTATCGTAAAGAAGAAAAAGTGCCAAAATGGAAATCTGATACAGGCAACATAGTCAATGCCACATGGGCAAAGAAATATATATATGTATGTTTTTTGCTGAGGAAGAGTAACCCTGAGCTAACATCTATGCTAATCTCCCCCTATTTTGTGTGTAGGTTGCCGCCATAGCATGGCTGATGGGTAGTGTAGGTCTGTGCTTGGGATCCAAATCCGTGAACCCAGGGCCACCACACAGTGTCCTGAACTTAACCACTATGCCACAGGGCCAGACTTCAGAAATAACTTTTAAATCACGTTCGAAAATGTGGGTGGGGGAGAGTCGTTAACTGTTACTGAGTAACAGCTCAGTGTCAGGCACTATCCTAGTTGCTTATGTGCCATCTCAATCCCCACAATAGCCCTGTGACTTAGGCATTATTATCCTCCTTTTACAAATTAGGAAACTGACTTGCTAATGTCAGGAAATTAATGAACTAACCCAGATCTATCAAATCCCAGAGCGTATCTTCTTTCTCTATGTCGTTCTCTTCCTGATACAAATGGGGAATTCTATTTTATATCCCTCAACATTATTATTGATTTGATAAATATTTATCATCTCCCACATGCCTGGGTTAGTCCTAGGCACTACAGATACAAAAAAGGAATTCTTGCCTCTGGAAGTTGACAGTTCAGGAATGGTTGGTTTTGAAACAATAAATTATTTTTACCAATTTACTCTACAGTTATTAAGAAGATTGTCATTTATTTTAGCGACTGTTTTCCTTTTCTGAATATGTGATTCAAGTCTGATAACTTCAGTTATAGTCCATGCAATAAAATGGGACTCAGAATTCCTGCCATTTGGTTCAGCAAATATTGAATTAAATAGCAAAACAAATAAACAATGGAGGGTCACACCTATAGAATAAACAAAGTAAATCAGACAAAAATTTTATGAATGCCCTTTTGTCATTCTAAAAAATAGCAAATGTCTTTAAGATTAACATTACTTATTGAAGTAATCACAACTATGTGTGTCTGGCACAAATTCTGATGACATTATGGGTTTCTGATTTGGCATTTTGGAAGAGTACATTAAACGGGCTACAAAAGAATCATATGATCTCTGATGAATGCTGGAATGTTACTGTGTTATTTTGAGAAGCAAGAGCCAGGTATGAAAAACTTTGTGTGGGTGTTCGGGATTCAAAACTTGATGTGTAACTGACTGGCATAGTACATATTGGCATGCAGATAATTTTTCTGGAAAAATGTAATAATGTTTTCACTAGGAGAAATGACCTTAGGGTGTAACAAATGCACTCCCTTTTCTTTTGATATTTTCACAACCTGTTGTAGAAATGTAGTATATGCCTTTTGTTGGAAAAGAAAAAAATCTTGGCATTGTCATTACTTTTTGAGAAAGAATTTCAAAATTGTTTAGAAAATTGGCCTTACTTCAAAGGGTGCACTTAAACTAGTTCCTGCATCTTGTCTGAAGAATCAACAATTGGTTTGTTCTCTTAATTCCAAAACTCATCTGGTTGTTTCTCGTAACATGGCATGCAGCTGCCTGGATTGACTTGCCAACAAAAACAACTAAATACTTCTAATAAAATATACTTAATAAAATTTTCTTAAATGCATCAATGAACTGACAATAAAGTAAGAAAATTTCAGGTCAATTATCTAAGTAAAATCAGGAACTCAGAAACTGAAGTGGAGAAATGGCTTCTTCCCTAACCACCTTTCTCCATGTCCCCACCGGGTATTAGAACAGGAAATAATGCAAGACTTGTCCAAGATAAGGAGTCTATTAGGAGGACGCTCCTCCCCCATAAAACTGGGATATCAAATGGCTAAACGTGTAATGGCGAGCCAGCATTAAATTCTCTCCACCCACCTCACTCCCCAGAAGATAACAAGGAAAATCAACTTTCTTGAATTTAAGTGCTGCACTGAGAAGGGTAAAAAGCCATAACTGAGAATCTGAACCAAAATCTGACCCTCAGGCTCAATATATACTAGAGGTCCCCTATAGTTAGGAAGGAAAATAAATAAAGGAGATACGGATGGGAAAAAGAAACAAAGATATCATTATTTGTAAATGTTATGAATAGACATAGAATAGTAAAAAAAATTATAGATAAATTACTAGAATTAAGAAAAGATTTTAATACGGTCACTGGATACAAAATTAATATGCAAAAAAGCAATTGCAATTCTATACGATTTAATAGTCTTGTTTGCAATGGCAAAAAGAAAATGGAAACAACTCAAATGTCAATCAAGGGGAGATTGAACAAAAAATGTGGTATAGGCAAATAAGGGAGTAGTATACAGTGGCAAAAAAATTAATGGCAGCCACACATCTTCTTGGATTAATTTCACAAATATATATACATATATGAGCAAATGGAGCAAGTCATAGAAGACTACATGCACTAGGGTTCATTTACATAAAGTCAAAAACAGGCAATACTCAATATCCTGTTGGTTAGGGATAAAACCTTTGATGGCACAAAGATAAAGAAAAGCAAGAAAACGATTATCATAAAAGTAGAGATACTATATGGCTTTGGTAGGAGAAATTCTGAACTTCAATATGGCATTGAATTTCACTGAAAGCGCTTTGAGAATTCCATCTTAGATAAACATGTTGTAGATTCTGCTCCTATAGAGGACCTGAATTTTACATGTTATCTTTTTATATCCTTGCTTGTAGTCATTTCATGATTTAAAATATACATCTTAAATATAATTTAAGATGTATATTTAAATATAATTTTTTAAAAATAAAAGTAATATATGTATATCGTTTAAAAAGGCAAATAATACAAGGCTTCTAATCAATAAGCACTAAGGCTCACCCCTGTCTCTTCCCATCCTTGACATGTGATTTCCGTGAAAGTTAAGCAATTTCAATACTTAATTTTTTTCTTTTCTGATTTACCTCCATATTTTAAAATATAATATATATTCTGCCATTTGTTGATTTTTTTCAATTTTAAATGAATATTGACTTTCTAATATGGAAGACAAAGATGTCACCTATAATAATATATGTATTTCCCACCTCATCTACTTATATAGTTATATCACAATTTTTAATGAAATCCACATCCATTGTTTCTATTTTTGTGATATGGAAATACTGTTCAACAGCAAGCCACATAGAATGTTATGATTATATCTACTTTTCTGTACAATGTTTTGTTTTTCCAGGAGTCAATGCTTGCCTTATTTGTTGTTGTGGTTGTGGCTGTTGCTGTTGGGTTTGTTTTTCTATATTCCTATCACTAATTTTCTCCAAATTCTCCAAGA